GAGAGAGAGAGAGAAAAAGAGAGAGAGATACAACTGTACATTAAAACTGCATAATATATGGTTGATTAGCAATTAACTAAGCTAACAGCCGTAGGTGTTTATATACAGTATATGGGTTTTTAGGTGTTTAAGAGCCGTAATGGTGGTACAAGCTTGTAGCAGCAGGAGTAATCATGCATTATTCATAGGACCTGCTCTATTTACAAAAAGCTTCTTGTCTTCACTATCAACTATGTTTTTCATGGGCTGTGCAGGTTTATGTAGGTTTTCCGTGTCCCAGTCGACACCATGTTATTTATACACCCCACTCACTTCTGGGCAATCAGACCCAGCACCACACACTTTACCAGAAGACGGTGCTCCACTGCATCAGTGTTAGCTTTATATGTGTGTGGGGTTCATGAGTTATACCCAGCTTGATGAGTAAAGCCGCATGGACGTTGTAACCTGAACGACATGCTCAATCAATCTCTCCATGTGTGTCCCTGAATGTGTGACTCAGTGGTCATGGTAGTCACCAAAGTCTTTGTTGGGATTGGGGAGCAAGGCTAGTTGTGTTAATTTTGCTCTCAGTGTTAAATTACATATCGACCGTCAGCCAGCCAGTACATGGACACGTAACCATGTCTATCAATCTATTATTGGGCTCTTTTTTGCCAGAGGCGCCTGCGCTCATTTACACCAAAAATATATATGGCAATATATATGACAATATACAGAGAGAGGAATGTGTGGTTGTCAACTGATGAGGATGTCTGTTCTGGTCGTGTTGTGATGTGTATCCCATGTGAACTAATTTCAACCGGTGTTTTTTTTTTGTTCACATACCCACATGCTGCTATTAGTTATAGATTAACCATTGATTTTCTGATGGATATTTGTCCATATATGTCCTTCATTTGTAATCTTTTTCCCTAAAAAATGTATCTCCATAGAACCTAAATCATTACATTTGTAGGTGAAGACATGTTTTATTGTTGGGGTGGTGGTTTGGTTTAGGTTTGCAGGGGTACAACAGTTTCACGACGTATCATGGAATGAAAATCGATGATTGTCGTACCATGTAATTTGCTTATTATTGATATTGAAAAAATGCAACCGAACTCCTCTCTTCCTTGACTGCCTATCAGTGCAACACAGATGCATACAGTGGAGAAAAAGGGCAGATAAGGCTGTGCAACATAATACATAACACATGACAATAGAAAAATGTATGTTGTGTATTTCACTGTGCTGCAAATCACTCATTATTACAGCAATAAATGTTTATTCTTCCTTCACACAATACGGGTATATGGAAACAACATGAAGGCAACACAACCTAACAGACAAAGGGGAGAGTGAACGTGACACAGAAAGGAGTAATTCTGAACAGGAAACTGCTGTGTCATATGAGTGGTCTGATACAGACTAGAAAACTTTTTTAAACAAATTATGTCACAGAGCCCACAACACACTCAAACAGCACTTCTTTTTCCCCCTGTGAAAATCATATTAAACAGCAAGGAGAGAGTCTACAGATGTGAGCCACAAAAGTGCAGTTGATTGCTCAAAACAAAAGACGCTTTTGCCCAGAACACACCATATGGCAAAGAATCAAGATGATGGAGGGAGATAACGGCTGCTGTTACAATTTGCATCTGCAAACACATGGATCCAATTTACACAGTTGAGAAAAGGTGTGAGTAACGAGTAATGATATGATTTTGGTCACCATAAAGAGAAAAAGATCACTTATCTCGATCCCCTGAAAAAGAAATGGAAATCAGCACTGTAGGATTACACTAAAAGCAAATGTAGTGTTTTCCTCGAAGACAGATATCCAGTAGCTGTATGAATAATTTTTCACATCCTAGTCCCCAGCAACATCTGTGTTGTCCATTCGATAACCTCTGACTTACAAACATATATTCTGACCCCATTCTGACCCCCAAATCAAATACAATGAGTTTCAAACATAAATGTCTCTGTTGTCATTCAGGATAGCTGTGCACGAGTTCTCCTGTTCCGAGGGGCAAATAAAGAGATGAAGAACTACAACAGCCAGACTGCCTTTCAGGTGTGTGCGGTATTCAACAACCACATTGTGTTTCTCTGTATTATCATACCTGACATGTCAGAGCTTAATGGATTGAATGACCAGGCCAAGGCCCTAATCCTGCTATTAAAACTTTAGCCACACAACAGCTCCCTCCATCTCTGCATTTCCACTGTGGCCAGTGACAGTGGTTGACAAAGTCTGTGAGAAATTGACACTGACACAGATCAAAGCGTGTTTGTTTGAACATTTGTTTGTGTCATCTGCACAATTTGCCACACAAAACAGATGTTATGTATTCAACAAAGGACTAAATGTATAAAACATTTATTAGGAGAGGGAGAGATGAAAATATGTGTAATGTATGCATGTAATGTTTTTTAATTCCCTTATTTCTACCTCCAGGTGGCTATCATCGCAGGAAACTTTGATCTGGCTGAAATCATAAAAGTCCACAAAGTATCAGACGTTGGTGAGTTTGAAGCAGTGGTAGTTCTGAACACCAACACACACTCAGTGTTTCATTAGTTCAAATGTAAATGTGGTGTCAGGGAGACATCAGATAGAAGAATGGTCAGGGCTAGATGGTGGACAGGCTCTATGATTACAGGTTGAACACTAGTGTTTGAAAATGAAGGGAAGGAGATGAAAGAAATGTGGAGAACATTTCAGCTGTTTATTAGATCCCTGCTGGGTTTCTCTGTGACATGAAAAAGAAAACTCTGCCATCTAGTGTTGACAGACTGTAATACCCTTTTCATATCATAAAACAGTGTTCAGATATTAATTTTATATCATTTTTTATCATTACACTGCATGAATGTTATATTACCCAGACAATTTGCTGGTAATGTACATGTGAACAAACAATTATTTTTAGTTGACTTTTTTGTTTCATCATAAGAATATTTAATTGACAGATACAATAAAAATCCATAATTCTAATCATCAAGGATATTAAACCGCTCCTCTTATACGTTTTTTTGATTTTCATTATTCACTGGTTAATATTAAATTATGAGAACTGATAAGACTGATAAAGCTCTACTACAGTTTATCATCTTTAAGGGTATGCTGCAGAACCATCAGCACTAGATCCAGTGTGTCACATGCATTTAGTTTTTCTCAGCGTAAAGTCATTAAAAAAAGGAATCGCAGTTTACAGACAGGTCAGAGTGAATTATTCGTGGTCTTAAACGAGCTAATATCAGTGACCTTGAGATGAGTAATTTCCCCATCACAGCAGTCTGGTCATTACATCTGCTTCACATGATGTGGGGAGGCTGTTAAGAGGTGGTCCAGGCCTGCATATGTCTTTCCTCTCTCAGTACCTTTCAGGGAGACCCCCTCCTACACCAACCGTCGACGTATGATTGCTGGCCCCCTGCCCTCACCACGCTCTTTACTCCGCTCTGCGAGTGACAACAATCTGAATGGGGACCACGATCACATCCACAGTCAGGCCCCCCGAGAAATTCGCGGTCGTCCAGGTCACTCCCCGGTCCCCTCACTGCGCAGTCTGCCAGCTTTTGGGCAGCAACACAGCAGCTTCGGAGAGGTAAGATGGAGCCTTTGAATTTTTATCTCTGTGTGCATATTTTAGTATAAATGAATAGGAGACTAGTGAAGGAGAAAATGAGAACGATGATTTGACATAATCTCATTAATTGGGGTTCCTTTGTATGTTTTGCTGATACATTATATGTTACACAAGGACAATTGCAATGTTATAAACATGCATTTGATACTTCGTCTCTTCTTCTGCTGTATGTCAGAGCCGTCATGGCGAGATGCCTGACACCAGTCTCCAGAGTACCGGCAGCTCTAGATCCTCCCATTCACGTTCGCCTTCACTACATCACATGCATGAAGAGGACAAGCCGATTCCCAGAAGGTCCCACAGCCATGGCTACCCTCACGGATACGGCCCTCGTGGTAGACTCAGGTCTGTAAGGTCCAACCTTTGTTCAACTTGGTGATTACCCATCTAAACTCATTTTTAGACATCTTTATAAAGAAGCAAATCTTTTTCCTCCAGCTCCCACTCGATGCCTCACACTTACCAGTCTTGGCAGCTGTTCACTTTAAATAGACAATCTGTCTGTGGCCTTGTGATCACGCACCTACTATCATATTTAAACCTAATTTCAGAAAAGCCCCATGTGGTGGTCTGAGTCACTTGTTAGTCACTTGGCAGCCGTCTGCATCATATCCCATGGTGGAGATAAACATGACATAACATCAGTCAGTGCAGAATCTTGTTTATTTATTCTTACGTCAATCACACATCTGAAAACTGTTTCAGGCCAGGCACTGAACATGAAAATGTGCCGTATGTTAATGGTTTCTGGATTAGATGTATAGTAGTAGACTGAAACCTTGATCAGTAGGAGTTCTCTTACAATTTGTTGTAGCCATTGTGTGGCCCATGCTCTTGTCAGGGTTTGTCTAAGCCAGGTGTTTCTGACTAATGTAACAAGCTGGGCTGAAATGCAGCATTTATCTTGCAATAAGGACAGAGGGTAAATGACATACTTAAAATCTGTGTGTGTGTTTCTACATGTGTATATTTAGCCACATGCCCTGTTCAAATATAGATAGATGGAAAGGGGCTAATAATGATCACCATGGGGACCAATTGATGAATGCCAAGCTCTGTGTGTGTGGGTGTGTCTGGGTATTTCAGTTTGTTTGAAAGAGATTGAGAGATGGTGGATACATTCTGAAATTAGAGCTATGGGTAATGCCATCGGACGTGAAAAAACAACTTGTCACTCGGTTGATGCATAAATCCATAGATGTAGTTGTGCTGCTGGGTGCTGGAACAAACCTCCCTTGTACACTGAACCATTAGACAAACTGAACAGTGAACTAGGGCCCTGATCACATCTCAGACTGAAGGACTGAAGTAGTTTACTGACACTTGGGGCTCTGCATTAAACCTGGCACATAGTGGTGCCAAATCTGATGTTGTCTTACACCAACACAGTTGTCATTTTCCTGTCCAAGAACCACATCTTTTTATCTTGTTGATGCAACTGCACCCATCTGTGCACCCATGGGTGGGTTTGTCTTCAAATGAGGTCTGTTTAGGTGCATTGTTGGCCCATTGCCATCTTTAGACAGCAGATTGGTTGCTCCTTGGAACAAAAAAAACTGGTCTAGTCAATGGTACAATATTTCAGTGTTGTTTTTAAGCACACATTGTAATGTACCTAGATAGGCAGTGTGCTACATGCATACATTATTTTTGTACTAGCAATCTGACCAGGTATGTAAATTAGGTACTATTCTTTTGAGCCTGATGCAGTGACTTTTTTCCGGAAAAATTAAATTAGCAAAAGTGGATTTGGATATGCCTTAAATACATACCTGCGCTTAAAACCACGTGATCAATAGAATAGAGACTTGTGGTTTGCTACACCTTTCGTAATGATAACTTGTCAAAGATAGATCACTTACATATAGAACACAGCTAATATGATGTGACAGTATGAGGATGCCAGTGTTTGTGTGAAGGAGTCTGATGTCTCACAGGGGAATTGCATTACAGACACAACTCCAGCTGTACTCTCCTCTCCTCTAATACTCTTCTGTCACTTCACTCCATCCATCAAAGCCCCTCTCTCTACCTCCCACCTCTCTCTCTCTCTCTCCACCTCTCATCCTCTCTCATATGTGTTAAAAAAAAAAGTCAACGTCAACATCCTTTATTACATCATGTAACATGCACATGTCAGACAATATAAAGTTGAGCTCTGAAGTGATCAGTCTAGAATTGAGTTACATGAAGTGAATTTGGTTCATTCATAAATTTACACTGCATTATTAAACTCTTTACAATGACTACTTCTTTTTTTGCTCCATCTTTCACTACATTGGCAGTACACAGCGTTCACTGAGAGAGATACATGGCCCTGTGTTGATTTTGATAATTCAAGTTTGAAGAAGGGGAAAAGGAAAGAGCTGAAAAATAAAATGGACTCTACCAGGTCTGGTATGTCTGCTGTGTCCTGACCTAAATGGCCTTCTGTGCACAGGGAGTTGAGACCTTGTTCTTCTATGCACATTAGCCTTACACCAAGTACTAAGGTGAGGTGAATGTATAAAAAGCCTAAAATGAGCAGCTGGTCTCAATGGCCAGAACCTGCACCCAAGTGAGACTGATGCTGTCCTTGAATATTTTTCTCTCTCTCAGTCTCCCTCTTGCTCTCTGTTTCTCCATCTGACCTTCTGTTTATGCCCATGGTAACTCTGGAGGCATCGTGGGTACCAGGGGAGTGTGAAATTAGCTTGGCCAGTCAACAGCCCGCTCAGCAGCAGACTCCTGCACGTTCCTGTGGAATTTACCTTCCCTTCCCTTCTCAGTTGTGTGCAGTGCTGTCAGGGTTCAATAGCTTGGCCAGGAAAGTTTAGACAGAGACAATGGAGAGGATACAGATATGTCAGAGTAGCATAGTAAGACTAAATCAAGAAAGAATGATAAAATCAAGGCAGATTAAAGCAAAACTGGATAACAATTACTCAAACTGATTCAGTTTATCAGATAATGAGACAACACTGAATGAGAATATGAAAATATGGCAGAATTTTATTTGGAATACAGCAACCTTTTTCTGTCATAAGAAGCTAATTGGCTGTGTGATCGCTATGGGTGCAATCAATAAAAAGTGATTTTCAGTAGAAAGCACGGCGTATTGACGGTATCAGGGACAGAAAGTGTGTGAGGGGATTTGTACACAAGAGTGAGATTATTCATGTGAGATTATGGTGGTAGCTGGAGGACTCAGTGAGCAAGATAACTATCATTGCCTGCTGTTGTGATGTATCATGACCCCTCATGTGATGTAAAAGCACTACAACTGGGCGTCCTGTTTTCTTCACCTTTTAATTCTGTATTCTTTATTTGCTGTTCTCATCACCTCTTTCTCATCTCATATTCTTCCCTCTTACTTTGCATTAGTCACACCAGTGGCTGTTGGTGTGTAGATTATCCATGGTGTCTAACACAGCAAAAGGGCTGAGGTACACAGAGAGAAGGGAGGACAGGAATAGAGTGAAAGAGGGGGAGAGGATAAAGGGTTGGGGTTTTTATGTTTCACCAATAAACATCAGAACCAAAGAATACAGGAGAGTGGTATTGCTCTGTGTAAATCATAATTCTTATGAGAGAGTGAGGATGATTTAAAACACTGATGTTGTCTGCTTGGGCCTGGACACACCCAATAAATCAACAATAGAGTCATGTCATGCAGCACAGAGTCAAAGCTGATTGAAGCATTGCTCAAAGTCAGAATGCATCAAACAATGTGGACGTGCAAGGTGTACAATATGGTGAAGGCTAGTAACTGCAGGACAGAACCATAACATGCTGATAACTCATCTTATCTAATCTTCCGCATCATTCTGGACCAGTTCATGGTAGCTGTTTGGTTAACACTTTAGCTCTAATTTCCTTCTTCAAACACCTTCAGCTCTTCCTGGGGGATTACAAGGTATTCCCAGGTCGATTTGAAATGTAATCCTTACAGCATGTTCTGGGTTTACCCTGGGGGTTTCCTCCAGTTTGATCTGTCCATTTCCAAGTTTTACTCAGAGTGCTTTTTGCATATCTAAGCCCTTCATGTCGTCCCTGAGGGTTGGCCGAGGAACTTTTGGAAGGGAACTAACTTTGCCTCCTTGTATCCATGAACTCCTGCTTTATGTCAGTTCCCAGAATGTATTACCGTAGGTGAAGGTAGGAGCACTGAGCAGCTCAGGGGCCTCGCCTTGAGGCTCAGATCCCCTTTACCATGACAGTCAACCTCTTACACCACTGCATGCACTGCATAGATACACCTGTAAATCTCTTAATCAGTTTTACTTGCACCTTGTTAAACAGAGTAAAGTTGGTAGCTATTTTTAGATGTAGTCTTTAAATTAAAGACACTCAGTGTTAATTTAGTCATATTTAATCAACGTCCCCTTTTTTAGTGCTTTTCAAGATTTTTTATCAGAGATAATCAGAGGGGGACATTCAAATGTTGTCATTCTTAGAAATAAAACTGTAAAATTTGTCTCCGTTTTTCAACAACAAAGAAGAGACATTACAGTTTTTATTTACAAAACTACATTTAGGTATTTTTGTTCATGATGATTTTGTCACAGTTATTGTTTAATGACTTGTCATAGTCACGGAAAAAAGTTGAGTAGTCTAGTCACTGACTAAATTAACACAATTGTGAGCAGGACCATACGACACTTAAATTTCTTAATTTCAGTTGGGGATTAAATATGTATAACAGATGGCTCAGAGCAAGGCCCTGTGTCCCCATATTCCCTCCACAAACCCACACCACACCCTGACAAAAATGCCAAAGCAAGCAACTGTTGTCTATGTGAGCTAAGTGGTTTGTTTACCTCAGCCTCCTCCCCATTCTTTGATGAAGGTAGAGTTTGGAGTTATCAGTCGGTCAAACCAATTGACTCTAGTTCTAATTTTACTTCAGATTCCCTGCCTCACCTAATCTGTCTATTTATTAGTCTTCCTCCTTTATAGCCATAAACACTCCCACATAAGGGAAGAAAGAATGAGAGAGCATATTTTCATACAAGTGCAGCAAAGTAAAGGCAAACTGATGATCATTAGGATGCAAAGTGTGATGCTGATTATGACTGTGTGTAATGGGCTCATCTCACCTCAGAGAGCTGGGCTATTTAAGGAAAAAGCCATTTACCTGAGACAGCAATGCAGTCATGTGAGGGCAGGCTACACTGAAGCTACTCAGTTTGATAGCATCTGTGAAAATGGCATTTAATGACATTTGCTGATGCAACCTCAGAGCTATGTAGGGAGTTCATAGATTTTGACATCCAAACTGAGGCAGCTTGACTCATTATTGAGCTGTTTAAATGTTAACCTGTCTGGCTCATTGATCCTAATCAAATATCTGAGAGCTGGAATGCCCAAATTATTGACTTAAAGACTTCTGATAAGGGACGTCTTATCTGTGATAATCTTAAAAACACAGGAAGACACAAGCATTTGCTCTTGATTTTTGCACAAAAACACTTGATTGCTTTGTGCAACTCACAATTTAGGTTGAATGAGAAATCCTTTGTTAAATATTTATGTAAATTCTTGTGGATTAAAGTTCAAACATAAAAGTTGGAACACCCATAATACCGTATACCAGTTTAAAAAAAAAAAGAAATCTTCTTTTATCTAATTTCCCTTTATTTGAATGAAAAATAATAATGGGAGTAAAGGTCATTATTATCTATGCTAACTGAATTAATACCACATTCAGTAGCTGTAGCGAGTTATTAAAACATGTAAGATGAGAGTAGTAATAAGTCAATTGGGTCAATAATTCATGTATTTTAAGTGTTCCAGGTTCATACTATTGACTTATCAGTTCATTTGTTGGCTATATTTTCTCTCCTTTTATTGACAGTTGCCATCGTTACAGAGGCAGGGCTGGTGTCCTAGGAAACGACAGAGCTTTTGTAATAGACTGCCTTAGAACTTTGTGTGTACTTGTGTGTGCATGTGATGCATCCTACATCTGTATCTTGTACAAGCTACTTTTAATGAGGCACACTGAAAGAGAAGAGAAAACCATGCAACGAAACAAAAGAAGCCAGAAATAAAAGCTTCTGTTTCAAATGCAGCATGATTTTGGTTATGGAAAAATCGTGACTCATCATCATGATAGCTGAATATGAACACAAAACATTAGATGACAAAATCATGTGTTAATTTTGGGAAACAATACATACCATGCTGAAATAGGTTAGATGGCCCATTTTTATGTCAACGGCTAAGAGTGTGTGTCACACATGAAACCAAGAAGCTTCCTGATCAGCTCTCAAAACCGCTACAGTAAAGACAATAGTAGGGTTGGTTCAGCTGTACCAGAATCAGGACCCCCTCCACCCACCATCTCCTCCCACAACACCTCTGCTGACATTGCACACATTGTCCTAATTGGACACCTATACCAAACAAGGTTAACCAATGTCAGTTCTACTCTTAATCTTACACTAACACATTAACACTAACCTTGTTTATATTTTTTATTATATCATTGGCCCATTAATATAAAATTCTATAAGCATATTTTTTTTTATTTGATTTGACTGAAAGTTCAATTACAGTGACTTGAAGTGAAACGCTGAGATGTCTCACTCTGTTGGGTTTATTCGAACAGCAGAAACACTCAGTTCACTCGTAGTTGTACATATGTGTTACAAAGTGGTGGCTCTTCTCTCTCAAACTATCTTTGACAAGTACTGACAGTGGGTTGCAGAGACAACACCATGTTTGATTTAGGCCCGCCTTCAAGACAATTAGATACAAGGAACAACCAGCGTTTGTTATTTAAACCATCATCAGCTGTTCTCTACAATGCATTGATGCAAAGGATTTTGCTCACTGACCGCACTGACCGCACTGAACCCACCAACACCCGTAACATACAATAAACCAAAGCCAGGTGCACTTGAATCTTGAAAGAATTTTGTTATAATTGCAGATTTGCAAGGTAGTAAGAAAGAACACTTCTCTGCATTCAGAAGGGGACACAAGTGAATTTCCTTAAACATAGGCGCAGATAAATGACAACTGCATCAGTGTGAAATTAGCAAAGAAACATATTCATGCTTGCTTCCATTTTGCTTGATAGGGCCACATGTGTCAATCTGGCAATTATCATCCAGGCTACAGGGAGCAACTGGGGTCAGGCTGTGCACACAACCTCTCAACCTTTAGGTGTATGAGGTGGCAAAGGTGTGTGGGTGGAGGAGGCTGATTTGAATCATTGAAATAGATAACCTTTAGAGAACTTTTTTTTTTGTTGTGTGTGTCACTTTGACATAGCCTCATCTCCCTACTCCTCCAGCCCTCCATCTCTTCTCTGTGCTGCTGATTTTCAGTGCCAGGGCTCCGATATTAACATGCGGCAGCCATCCCGGCCCCTCAGTCCCTGCGGTAATTGGAAAGCCGTCACCAATCCGTTGTTTTGATGGAGAGGGGGACAGAGAAAGAGAGGCTGGGTGAGATGAGGAGGGCAAGAAAAGCAATAGAGAGTTAGGAAGGGAAAGAGACAAACAAGGCTTGAAACAAGGACCAGGGAGGACATAGGGATGGAAAGGGGGAAAGGGCACAGGAGACTGGAATCAGGTGAATGAAAGAATGAAGTGTCTGATATAACTTGCAAGTGGAGGAATGTCACAAGACTGAAAGAGGTTAAAAGGTAGATAGACTGTTATTTAGTTCAATTCAGTGATTTCCTGAGATCTCACGTCTTTCCAGGAAATGTCGCTGTGAATAAAGTCAAGTCTCATTTCAATGCATAATCAAGTCACTTGTTACAGTGAATGATCAGAAATGTTATATGTAACTGTAGTACACACAAACCTGTGTTCAAGCAAACCCCAGACAAGGACAGGTATTACAGCACATGACTCTTGTGTGTTTATATAGGTGTGTGTATCTTATGCTTTCATTTCAATACAAGCAGCAGAATGATACTGAATGCAATGTGGTGATGAATGAAGACTAGGCGGAGCTCTGCTGCTGTTGTATTAGAATTCACCACCAGAGAGTGAGAGAGAAAAAGAGAGAGAGAGAGAGAGGGTGAAGATGCAATGCCAACAAAGGTTGAGAAGGAGAGGGATAAGAGGGGGAAATGGAGGCAAGAGAATGAAAGAGAGGAGGGGATTGAAGGCAAAGCGAAAGAGGGAGGGGCGACAATTAAACCAAATGGGCTGGAGCTTTTTGCCCCCCATCCCACTGCATACAAACATGCACATACACACACACAAACAGACAGAAACGCGCATACACATACTCTCACAGCCCGCCTCAGGGAGCCATGGCGCATGCACACTCGCAGGCAGGCAGACAGGCAGGAGGAGATCAATCGTGCTCTGGGACGAGTGTGCGTATGTGTATGTCAGCGATGTGTTAGTGACATGCTGGTAGTAGCGTATGCCATGCTTACTAGCGGATATGCAATCTTAGCATGAGTGGGGGGGGTGGCTGCCTGTGTATGTGTTTATGCACACGGCTAGAATGCACATAGAGGGCTTGTGGTGTGTTAGTGTGAGCGAGCCGTCAAAGGGGAGGGGAGCCACGGAGCGCAGCAGCAGTAACAGCAGCATTGCCAGAGTGTGTGTGAGCGAGTGTGCGTGTGTGAGGGGTGGAGGGGAGAGGAGAGGCAGACGCGGCGGGACTCCCGGGAGAAGGAGCAGGAGTCGGGGAGTAGATCCAGCCTCTCTCCTCCACAGCAGGAGAACCAGGACCCAAGGACGAGGCAAGATCTGTAGTCTTGCCTGGAGCGGCTGGAACTGGGGACACACGGGAGATCTCTGTCCCTCTCTGGAGGGAGCTACTACTGGAACCCCAACTCGAGATGTGTTTGACTAAGGGGGGCTTCCAGACGGATCAGACCCAGGCAGAGAAAGAAACTGTGCATCCCCTCTTACCGTTAAATATTTCTGCTTCTACCTTGGTTAGGATGCTGGGCAGAGGGGAGAGATAGGAAAAAGAGAGGGTAAAAGGGAGCAAGAAGGATTTTCTCTGTGCCATTAAGGAAGGAAGAGAGGGAATAAGAAGGGGGGGTTGGGGGGGTGGGAGGAGTGTACTCTCCTCTCATGACTCTCCTACGGACCACCGACTGTTGACTGTTGATCGGCAGGCAAAGGACTTGTTTATGATTCCCTCCCTGGCTACCATAACAACCAGGGGGAGCCCCCAGGTTGCTGTCCCGCTGACGACCATGTCAGTGACCACGGGCCTCAGTTACCAGATCCCTGGAATCACCACAGTAACATATGTGTTTGTTTACAGCCCCGGCTCAGTGCAGCGAGATCCGAGCCCCCCTCATCACACACCTCCAGCACTGACAGGCCCCCGCGGGCCCAAACGGAAACTCTACAGTGCTGTCCCAGGACGTACCTTCATCGTGGTCAAGCCTTACACGCCACAGGGGGAGGGAGAAATCCAACTCAACCGTGGAGAGAGGGTCAAAGGTAAGATGTCTACTGTCATATTACTCACTACATTAACCCCTTGCTTAACCTACCACTGTAACTACTACTTTTCAACACAACCGCCACTAATCTATATTTCATAGCATGACAGCAGCTCTCTCTCATCACCACTAGTGATGTTTCAGTGTGACGTCCATGGTTACATGTAGCTTGCTTGACTGCCAGAGTTGGGTTTGCTGCAGAATAAAATAAACATTCCTGTGCTCATACTTCTCGGATACAAAGCACACCATTACTTCACTATGATTTTTCGCTGCAAAGCGGTTATGTAATCTCTCAAGCTGGAAGTCATTTCAGTGTCATTTGAGTTGACATTGTGAATTATCATTTCATTCACTTTGTAAATAAGCTGTTTTGTGCCCTACATATAGGTGTCGTGGCTTCGCTTTCATATGTTTGTGTGTGTGCTTTTGTCTCCATCCATGCTTCACTCAAGACTATGACTGTAATGACGTAGAAGGTAAACTCCATAATATTCTTCTCACCCTGTATCTCTCCTATAAATCTCAGTGTGTCAACCCTGCACCTGCAGTGTAGCAGTCAGTTCTTGGCCCCATTTGAATCCACTTGAGATGTGTTTACAATGACAGTATAAATCTGTGATTACTTCAAGGAGAGGGCATGCAAATTCAAACAGGTCCCTGTTTGATTTTCATCGTTGTTATGCATACCACTGTCCCTCCTCCTCTGTGAAAGTGCTTCTCCCTGAACATACAACTGCTTTTCTCTTTCCTCTTATCACCTGTCCACAGACACCCACTTCCACATTGACCCCACACACCCTTAATCATGTCCTCAGAAAGGCTGGAGAGAAGAGGGGGGTCACACTCCTGCTGAGACCTATCATGTTCATTTCAGATCTACAGAAGCACAGGAAGTACAGATAAAGGGTCAATTCGGAGTGCCCAAAGTCACAACACACCAATGAGCATACACACTCTGACTCTTTCTTCCTCTTACTCATTTAGTAGCAAACAACATAAATTGTAGTTTAAACCCAGTGACAAGATTCCTTCTCTCTGCCTGGTATGCCCACCACGTGCTAGACGTTTACTGTGTCACAGCCTCTCTGTCCTCACTCACCCTCACAAGCAAACCTGCTCCTGTATGCTTTGATGCCTCCATATAGTGTTTTCTGTTCAATGGAAACTGCTGTAAATTATACAGGAAGTATTAAAACAGGTGACTAACAATTTCAGACCAAGCAAATCAGAATCATGTTTTTGTTAAAAAACTATCTGAATGAGGTGGCATTGTCTGAAATTGTGATGTATGTTGTTGTTGACACAAATATTATCAGAAATGTGATGACTCAACAGCATGCCTTCATCAACTGTATGGATCTGCTGTCACCGGCTTTTCTGTCGGTGCAGCTGAATCCATACCCCTGCCACTGAGGTCTTGCAGTTCTTTCATGTTGGCCAGGCAGGAAACAAGCCTACAGTTGCATGGCTGCCAGGACCAAGGCCTGGCCAAGTAAACCATCTGGCATTGTTATGCATTACTGACCATCAAACCATGACTTTGTTCCATTTACTATGCTTCTATAGTGTTGGGATATGAGTGAGGAGATCATTTCTGCTGGGTTATTGAACCGATTAAAGAGCAGTTCAGGTTCCATGGAAAGGATTTATTTTGATAATCGAACTTTGTGTGGTGCATTGTCATGTAGTTCTATTAGGGAGTGACCACCCCCACTGGTACACAGACAGGCAAGGCTTGAGAGGCCCCTTCCTGAAGGGATGGATGACCCTTGGTTTGATACATAATGCATTTGATCTAATCTGCATTCATAAATGGATGAGTTGCTAACAGTAGTAGGGCTCATTTGCAATGGAGGACAAGAGGAGGGAAGGCAAATGAAAGATATGGAAAAAGATTTATATCTTACCTGACTTATCCTCCTGATTAAGGTGACAAACAAATCAGAACCTCCTTCACCTTCAGGGATGTCGATCAAGGTCAAGACTAGTTCATGTGTGTGTGTATGTGAATGTGTGTCAAAGAATCAGCAATGCTGTTTGTGCCCTCAGGCTAACTCTGGTGCGTGAAACGTGTTGATGATTCACTCTACCTTACACATACACTTGCATGAAACGTGAAGTCACTTTTGCACTCATCTGTCTTTCTGTTGATGACCTCACACTCTTGTTAATCACCAGCCATACCAGAGGAGCATCTGTATGATGAGATCAGACTGGGTAAATCGTACTGTCTGTTTATGTTTGTTTCTGTGTGAGAGAGATGTGTGTGTTAGTATCTATGCTTGCGTATGTAAGCATTAGCATAACTGTTTATTAGCTTTCCTGTTAGCAGGACCAACTGGTGGCCTGTTAAGACGGGGAGTATTGTATGCCACACAGGGAAAGATGTGTCACACTTTGTAGTTTAATGAACACCATTGATTTTGTTCTAATGGGAGACATACTGTGTTTCTCAGCAGTAGAGCTGTAGCAAGTTCCTGGTCAAATGTGTGTGTTTAGCCTTTTGTAAATATAAGATTATTAAACACAAAAAGAATTTAAAGACATTTTTTCTTTTATCAGTTATGCATTAATCCATCTAATACCTTATAGCTGACATCCTGTGCAATGAGGACGATGAGGATTGCACGAATGACGTTAATGGTGATGATGATGATGATGATGATGATGAACATGAAGGTAAAATGAATACCTTACTTTTTAGCTTTTGAAAGAAGGATGGCAAAGTGGTTAAAACAGTTAATCATTAAGGAAACCTAATTATTTTTCTGCTACCACAAGAAAATGATGCAAATGTTGCAGTCTTGTGTTCCCTCTAGTGATCTCAACCAATGATTTTCACAATATTGAGCAGTGTGAAGAAATAAAAAGAACACTTGAGACTGAGATAAAGTGTAAATGTAAGTAAGGCTTTAATGCTTCTACTTTCTCATCCTTCATATTCACTTTGACTAGTGCTGATAGATGTACATAGCTTATAACCCCAGTGCACAACAGTAGATGGACCTTAAATGGTTGTTTTGGTTTTAGTAACTAAATCAAATGTCCCAAGAGTCTTGTCTTTTATCCAACCTGTTTTCTTTATCCACCATGAAGTATTGCTTTGAAAAACTCCCAGTCTTCACTCTGTGATTGTCAGTCTATTGGTCTGCTGTCTGAGATCAATGGGCCTCATGCACCAACTGTTCTTAAGAAGAAATTTCTTCTTGAAACCCACTTATAGTTTTTATGAAAGATTCTGATATTCACCAATGTTTTCTTATCTGGGAATTGTTCTACGCACACTGTTAATTCTGATCTCAGATGAGAGATGGCTCAGGTCTGTGCATGCAGGGTCATCCACATCCAGCTTTCCAAGCACTCGATTACTTTCAGGTGTTTTTCCCTTCTCGCTCATCTGTGTGTGTGTGTGTGTGTGTGTGTGTGTGTGT